ATATGTTGTGGGGTTGTTAACCAATGTCATAAAACAAAATGTGTACGTCTGTTTCATGAGAAACTATTTGTTCTGTAAGCCTGCACCTGAAGTACAATAAAAAATAAAAATAAAAAAGCAGCCCAGTCAAAACGGATATTCTCAAAATAGAAGGAGAAATTATGAGATGCCCTGTTGGCTTTATCTTCTTGCTAGACTCATGTCTTTTCCAACAGGACCTAGAATTAGGACTAAGGCTTCCCTTTAAAAAGGAAGAGTAATATCTAATCTCTAGCTGACCGAGAAACTCTTTTTATCTTTCAAGAATCATTAATTTCCATCAGGCTAATTTCATTTTGAGAAAGTGAGTGCTCTGCAGCATATTCTAATGAAAAAGAAAAAAAAAAAGTAAAATCAACAATTTAATTTTTAAAGAGACAACTAAAGTAAGTTTATATACATTTAGGGGAAGGAGAAGACTGCTCTAGATCAAGAAAGATTTAGGAGAAAAAAACCTTGTTTGTTGAAACATGATTCAAATGAGTCTTTAAAAAGTCACTTTTGCAATGATCAAGGAAATCTGAATATGGACTAAAAAACAATTTGCAATGAGACTAGAGGCTTATGTGAAAGGTCATAAAGAAGCAAACTAGTTTATACAGGGATCAGAAATATTTCCATTTTTTAGAAGTAAAGAGAAAAAAAATTAAAATTAATCCATCAGAAAGTAACAGATTTGTCAGAAAGGATACGTATTCCATTCATGCCTGAAATCTTGAAGTCATCAATTAGCTGTACCACCATGTCTTTATTTGGGTCACTGGGATCACTTTCTCGAACCTATGCAAAGAAAAATGAATGCAAGAACAAAAGAGTTTAAGATTGAAAATAATTTCTTCTATTATTTCACTCAAAATTGTTTTTAATAAAAGTGATGTTATTAAAACAAAAGAGTCAGTATTTAAACTTATGAAATAAATTCAATTTAATACTGCCCCCCCAAAAAAAACCTCTGCGAGATTTTAAGTACTAATTTTCCTTTATCATTCACATTTTGCCATACTTACACATTTCAGCAATTTTATTTCATCCAAGGCCGTCTCTGTATAATGCTGGGCACTTTTTACAACTTTCATTGCAACAAATCTTTTCCCCCTTAAAAAAAAAAAAGAAAAAAAATATATATATTAAATATATATATATATTTAATGTTGCCAGTAGAAGAAGTGATTATTATAATCAGATCTATTAACTATTAGAAACTTATATGGTACTAGTTAAAAACAAAAACAAAAAACCCGTTGCCATTGAGTCGAGTCAATTCCGACTCACAGCGATCCTACAGGACAGAGCAGAACTGCCTCGTAGGGTTTCCAAGAAGCAGCTGGTGGATTTGAACTGTCAAACTTTTGGTTAGAGCCTGAGCTCTTAAAACACTGTGCCACCAGGGCCCCAGTTTATGTAAGTACTATATAAACTATATAACTTACACAGAATTTTTCAAACTACGGGACCACAATTAACTAGTGGGTCCATGGGCCAAGACAACCTCTTGTAAGTAACACTTTATTGCAGTTCATATACATACATAGACTACACATGTATACGTGTACTATGTAGTAATGCACTTTCTTAATGTGGGTCATACATTTTAAAAAGTCATATATCACTGCTTTGAAAGGACTATTCATTATTATTTTATATTTGAATGTTACTCTGATATAGATGAACTACTAGAAAAGCAATATGACCTCAATGTAAAGCAACTTCAGTAACTTAAGTTTCAGAAACAAAGCTAGAACAAAGTTAATATTTTAAGATATCAAGCAACTGAATTTCAAACTCAGAAGAAAAAGAGAAGGATGGCTAGCTAGGGCAGTCTTGTGCCAAGCACTTTCCATGCAAAAAACAGGTCCCTCAGCCAACTTTCTTAGGAAATTGAGGTGTTTAGCCAGACCAGGAACCAAAGCATATGACAAAGAACACTTACTGCATATCCCAGCACAGCCATACAGTAGAGAAGTGTCCCCATCCTAGCTTCCTAATAACATGGTATCGGCCATTGAAGAGGTCTCCAATTTTCACTGGATGATAGCCACCTTTTAATAAAAAAAAAAGAAATTAAAACTGAAATTTGTCAGAAAAATAGTAATATCATTTTACTGCTTCTCAATTCCTGATGTCATTAAAAATGATAATCAGATCAAAGCATGTTCAATAATGTAACTTTCTTTTATTTTTTTGTTTTTAGGAATATCTTTCATCAAGAGAAAAATGTTCTATGCTTTCCTATTAGAATTTTTGTTTGTTTTAATTTAATTTTAAAGGGCAATAAACCATCCAGCACTAGATAACAATGATTCTAACTTTTGTATTTAAACCTAGGTATGTACAATATACAAACATCAGCTCTTAAAATCGCGAACAACCTTTCTTTCTTCTCAGCAATAAGTCAAATTCAGATCTTTTTGGGTCTATACAAGATAACCCTACCAAAATAAGGGATGTTTATTGTGCATAATTCTCATATACCAGTAGTTTATGTGTAACCAATAAGGATTTGTATAATGCATGTCTTAATTTACCCTCCAACAGATTATGTTCCTCTCACTGCTCTTCCTGCAACCTCAAATTCATGTCTGGAAACATCCCTTAGAAAAGAAGAAATCAGTTGAGGAGGGACAGAGGGTATGCTATTAAGGTAGACTCCTGGAAGAGGGTAAAGGCATTTTTATGACATATGGCATTAGAAAAAACTTTCACTTTGCATTTTTAAGTAAAATAAGCAGGCTATAAAACAGCATGTGTAATATACCATTTTTGTGAAACACATAAGAAAAAAGAATAAGGTGTTAAAAATGGGCATCTCTAGATATACAATGTATCTTTTATTCTTTTTATTTATAGTCTATTCTTTATATTTTTAATTTTTCTATTTATATTTATAGTTTCAATTTTTTCTAAAACAATATTTTTCTACTTTTTTACACTGGAAACAAATTTCTTTTAATTTAACATATAATACTTTTTAATTGCAAAACTGGTATTTCTCATTTCTTAATTAATAAGAATTCTTATAACTTATTCAACAAAGAGATGGAGAGATTGTACCTAGTGCTTAAAGGCCTAAAGCAGGTGCAGAAATTATCTAAACAACATCTTTCAATACACTTGTGTAACTACAAGAGAGTTAGGAAATATTTTAAGAAGTACTATGAATATTTATGAACATTTAAATTGTGTTGCATAAGTGAAGCAGGAATCTGACCAGATACTGAGTTTCTAAGATTCTTAGTTACATATCACCAATGCACTTGCTCTTCCTGGATTTAAATATCAAAATCTATTAACATTTTGGGATAAAAATATGAACTAAAGATAGTAAATTAGGAATAAAATAAAGCAATCAATAAATGGCTTATTATTTAATTCAAAGGTTAAAGTAAAATTACTTAAAATAAACAGGCTCTGAGTTCAGTACAGATTTTAAACCATTAAAATGAGCACTGAAAATGAGGAAAAGAAAATTAACATTTTTCAAATACATATTAGGAGCGCTGTGCTAGGTATATTTTCCATACTGTGTTCCATAAAGCAAGAGTAAGCCATAATAAATTACAGGTGTTCCACTGGGGGAGGGAAAAGGGGGAGAGAGGAGGAGTTCTCTTTGGGAAATGCAAAATTAAGTAGAGCGAAGTAAATTTCTTGACCACAGAAGTTCTCAGAGGCCAATGTCTTAACACATCACGTGAGCCACTAACAGAAGAATTAACGCATACTTCATCTTCCACATAAGTGATCATGAAACTATTTCTTAAGAAACTAGTCACATTTTATAATTTAGGTAACACTGACATATTATCCTACTTGCAATTACTTCCTACAACTACTCTGAAAAACAAACTGTTATTTCTACACTGCTGATGAGAATACCAAGATCCAGAGAGACTTAGTCGTAGGTTCGGAGCTGGGAACTGACTCGAAAGCCCATGCTTTCCAAACAACTTGTTGTCAAGTCAATTCCAATTCACGGCGACCCTATAGGACAGAGAAGAACTGCCCCGTAGGGTTTCCAAGGAGCGGCTGGTGGATTCAAACTGCCAACCTTTCGGTTAGTAGCCAAGTTCTTAACCACTACGCCACCAGGGCTCCACTACTGAAGAAATGTACTTCATTTTTAGTAACTGCTAGGCTATTTCCTGGTCTTACAAAAAAAAAAAAAAAACTTATTATGCCCATCTTATTATAGCCCCTCTATATTAATGCCTTCCCAATTTACAAATCTTGTAACAATGTGTATTCAGTACACAGGGAACACTGGAATGGCTTAATTAAAAGCTATATACTACTTAATTACGCATTATTGCTAAATTAAAGTCTCTAAACAGAAGTTAATTATGCATAAAGAGAAATAAATTTGTATCACTAGTATATATTATGCTTCAGATCTGAATTCTCAAACAGCCAGATGTGAGTACATGTGAGCAGAAACAGAAGCTGCACTACTTCTAATAGAATCATAAATGCAATGGCTCCTTTTCTCAATGGGATTTTGAAAGTTAAACAAAAAACATTAACAGCTGAGTCCAGTTACCTACGAAGCTCACAGGCTAGCTAAGAATACTGTCTCTAAAAATAGGCCAAATAAATATGCCAAACCAAAACCAAATCCATTGCCATCAATCAATTTTGACTCATAGTGACCCTAGAGGACAGAGCAGAAGTTGTCCATAGGGTTTCTAGGAGCAGCTGGTAGATTTCAACCACCGAGCTTTTGATTAGCAGCCGAGCTCTTAACCACTGTGCCACCAGGGCTCTGAATAAATATAAGGGGCATAAAAATATTTTTAAACACATAAATAGGTGCTGAATATAAAAATAACTGAAAGTACATAACACCGAACATCATAATTCTTCTTTTTATTTTGGAAATGTCACATACACCATTCCAAGTCTACAGTCTCTATATTCTTATGCCCTAACTCCCTTTCTACAGAAACCAGTATTCTCTCTTGATGATTTTTCATTCTCTTCTCACAGAAAGGTAGTCTTGCTCATAGGGTCTCTCCTCTAACACTACGCTGCCAAGAGGGGGAAGCATGTCCCCACATGGCATACCAGACCTACCTACCCAACACCCAGGGAATCAGAAATGGACTTCAGAAACTCCATCGGAAACATCTCCAGTTCTCTGAGCTTAGATGTGTGCATTATAATGGTACATAAGGCCATATCTAGCAATGTAAACTCCATGGTCTACTACTCGTCTAGCAAACAAGGTATCTTGAGCAGTCACAGATTAAACAATGACCCAATTGTCTCTTGGTTCCTTTCGCTGCTTCACCAAAAGGCAGTCAGAGAGTAGGATAACTGGGCTATTCAGGTAGAGCGCTGGAAAGGGTCAAGCACTTGAGGACTACTATGACTCTGGGGGTTGGCTAGTGCATTTATACTTCGGTATTCTTACTGTTGAAGAAGCCCTGAGAGTGCAGTGGTTAAGCGCTTGGCTGATAACCAAAAGGTCTGAAGTTCAAACCCACCAGCTGCTCCACAGGAGAAAGATGTGGCAGCCTGCTTCCATACAGATTACAGTCTTGGAAACCCCATGGGGCAGTTCTACTTTGGGTTGCTACGAGCTGGAATCGACTCGACGGCAACAGGTTTGGGTTATTTGTTTATGTTTACTATTTACGGTAAAAATCCCACACTAAGAGGCTCTTCTCTTTTTAAAAAACAAAGTCTAGATTGGATCACAAATACGAAGAAAATCAGAATGGTCTGTTAAGTATTATTAAATTCACAGCTCTGGTTTCTTCTCTTAACTCCTCTCTAACACACCCAAGAAAAATACAACTAAAGTTCTACCTATAGAATTAATAAAGTTCCAAAAAAGACAATTCTGAAACTATCCTTTTTAACTGTTTTAGGGGGATTTTTGTTCAAAGATAAAGAAGACTTCCTTTTCCCTGCCAAGCAAAAAATACAGCTCTATTTACAAGAGTGAATCAAAAGTTCAGAATTCTATGATAGACAACTGGAAGGATTTTTTAGCAAATTCTTTTTATTTTCTACCAATGACAACGTTAAACATGATTCATTTTTTACCAACAGTAGTTTCTTGGCCCTCTGATGGCAAGGATTCTCTCCTTAGTCAATGAAGGATTTTAAAGGTCCAAGCAAAGATTTACGAATCTTTCCCAACACAATCTTAGAAAGGGAGAAGTCAGTAAGAAGAAATTTGTTCACAGGAAGATAACCAAGACACAACTCTAAGTCATTTTAAGATTTCAAAATTTCTTTCTCAAAAATTCACAGAATAGACATACAGTCAGTAAGGATACAGACAACTTGAATACCACTATAGACCAACTTGCCTAATTGACATTTATAGAACATTCAACAACAACTAGCCAATATCATGAAGCTGGGGGAAGAAGAACAGGGGGATGATTCCTAGATCAAAAGGATTAAAAAACATAAAACCAATTGTAACGTGTAAATCTTTTCTTCTTTTTTTAAAATACATATTTATTGAAATATGATTTATATACAGTAAAATTTACCCCTTTTACTGTACCTGTCTATGAGTTTTAACAAATGTACACAGTCAAGTCAGCACTACCACAATCAAGATACAGAACAATTCCTCACCAAAAAAAGTTCCTTCCTTTCCTTTTGTAGTCAACCCTTTCCCCACCTCCAGATCCTGGCCAACTACTTATCTGTTTTCTGTCCCATTATCTTTTTAAACTGAAGAACAGTTTTATGAACTTATGACTTTTATTTACAGATGCATGGTAAAGCCCTATAAAAAAAAAAAACTTTCTTGAAAAATATGATGTGTGAAATGTCAGACCACCTAAAAAGTATTTAATGACCTTGTAAAAGAAAAAAATCATCCGTTCCAATAATTGTTAAGGATTAAATTTAGGTCTCTAAAACAGGGTTTATAATTTTTCTCTGAGAAAGACTTTTCATCTAATAGCTGACTTGGGGGAAAAAAGTCATGGCTCAATAAACAGATTTATATACTTTTTCCTCAAAGTAACAGGCTCCCATTTCATCCAAAGAGTGAACTGAGACATAAAACAGTGTATTT